GGTTTCCTGGTCTCAGATGTGTCTGGGCGCGTCCGCCCGCTTCCCTATCAGCGCCATATTCGCCTTCGGCGCGGCCGCCTGGCTCTGCTGGGGAGGCGGGCGTTCCTCTGCGCCTCCCTCTCATTTCTTTACCTCATCCTCCGCCCCCTGGGTGGATGCCAGAGGAGATCCAGGAGGTTCAGAGCGATGACTTCCGACGATCTGCCCCGTCATGTTCAGCCCGCGCTGACGGGGGATGCCATGATCACTGTCCTCGCTCACGCGCCTCGCCAGGAATCCTATAATGCCTATCCTGGTAAATTTCGAAAACGAGATCGCGGGGGAGCTCATCCCAGGTCTCACTTACTTCGTGAGCCCCCGGATCAGAGAGGACTGCTTGCCGCCTCGGTCGTGGCCGACCCTCCTGCGCCGGCGCCATGGCCCTGGTGCCGCGGCGTCTCCTGGCGGCGAGGGCTGCGCGACGATCGGCCCATATGGTCGCGGTGTCGGCTGCGAGGCGGACAGGGGCGCGCGCGGTAAACTTTGCAGAACTTTACAACATCTCGCTTGCACGCGCGCCTCTCATCGCCGTATGCGCCTCGACGGCAATATGTCATGATGGCGCGATTGCTCTCGTCGCGGAGAACGCGCTGCAGAGTCCGCCGATGGCGGATTGATTCCTCTGCGCAACCCCGGTCGAGGTAGCGCGCCATTTCCGCGAAATATATTTCCATAGTGGGCGTCGTCCGTCATGGGACAAGATAGAATAGCGCTTCCCAGAGGGGGGCAACCGTTCCCCCGGGCCCGATCTCCTGGGGCGCGCACCGCGCGCGGGTTTGACGGACCGAGCGTTCCCCCTGCCCTTTGAAGGGCCCGCCGTGCGTGAGTAAGCGCGGCCTCGGCCAGGGCCGCCCGCGTCTGGGCGTGCCTTGCTAGATTTTCCCGGGGCGCCCGCTGCGGCGGGGGCCGCTGCGCCGCGGCCGCGGCGACTGCTGCCTTCGTCGCCGTTGCAGGGGCCGCGCCCCGCCCGATGGGGGCCCGTCCTGGCGCGCCCCGCATCGCGAATGTGTCGGCGCGGGTCTGGGCCTGCAACGCCTTCGGAGCCTCCGATGGAATCGCCCACGGCCGAATTTCTTGCAAGGTGGCCTGCTTGCGAACGACTGCCAAAGTCCGCTGCGCGATCGACCGCAACCCTTAGGACGCCGGCCACGCGCAAGCCGAGGCAGCGCAACAGAACTGTCAGCGGGAACAAATCCCCGACAAGGGGCCCCTCGGAGTTCGGCGTTCGCCTCGCCCGAGGCGCGCCCGCCCAGCCCTTCATGGGCGTGCCGCAGAGCTCATCGATCCCTTCGCGCAGGCGCTCAGCGTAGCGCTCGATCGACAAAACGGCCTCGGCGAAGTGGGCCATCCAGAGCCAGGGGGAACTTGATTGGAACTGAGGGGGGGCAGTCGAGTTCGGGGGGGTCGACGCATCCAATTGCGCCCCCTTCGGATTGCTCTGGGCCGAGAAGCGCCCCTTCCTGCCACGCTGGTGGCACTGCGCCTGGAAGCGTCGATCGCTCCCGCAGGAAGTTCATGTCATGCGTTTGCCACTTTGGCCCATCGGATTTGGCCTGCGTTTCTTGCCTGCGCCAGCTGCGCGCCCGCGACCACTGCGGCGCCGCTGCCCTTGCCTCCAAGGAACAAGTCTTCAAAACCCAGCAGTTAGCCTGGCCAGAAGTGCAGCTACGCTTTTGCCGTGCAATCTGCGGGCGCGCCCGCCGCTCTTTCCGCGGCCCTTGCCCTGGCGAGCGAAGTACGCGACGTACGCCCCCCCCCCCCCCCCCCCCCCCCCCCCCCCCCCCCCCCCCCCTTAAACCGGACCCCCGGGATCTGCAGCTCTGGGGCCCTCCGGGCGGGCCTCGAAGCGGCCCCCTGGGCCTCGCGGGGCGTTTTGCCAAGCCTTCGCAGCGCGCCCAGGGCGATCAGGGGGGTCACCAGAGACGTCCCAGAGACCCCCAAGACAGCACAAGAGCGCTCCAAGAAGCCGTCATACCCCGAAAGATCGCTCCAAAACGCACCAAGAGGCCTCCAAGAGCCCCCCCAAGAAGGCACCAAGAGGGAAAAATCATTGATTCTATGTAGGTTGTTGGTGCATTTGGGGTTCTCCTCTTTTCGGCTTCCCGACGCTCCAAGACGGCGGTCTCCTAGGCGTCCGAAGCCGCCTGGGAGGCTCCGAAATCGCCCCGCAACCTTCCGAAAGGGCTTCCAGGCAATCCAAGAGAGCCCCCAAACGGCGCAACAGGGGTCCAAAGTGGCCCTCAGAGAGCACCACGGCTGCCCAAGATGGCCCCAAGACATCCTCCGAAGCATTCCAAATCGTGACTGGGGCGCGCAGGGAGACCGCGGTTAGAGGCAGGTTGGCCTTAGGAAGCCCCAGAGGCCCCCAGAACACACCCAGGAGGCCTCCAGAAGGCTTTAAGAAAGCCTGCGAACTTTGGTGAGGCCCCCAAAGGCTCTCCAAGGAGGAGCCTCCGCAAAAAGAGCTGAGGATGATGGGGAGAATGCCCGGGGCATGGCGAGAATGAAAAAATAAGCATGGAGGAAGGACAACGAACAACATCATTATCACGGCGATGCCAGAAAAGGCAGCAAGGAGTTCTCGCTAAATTGTCGGCTTGACTTCCTGCCATTTCCGCCTGCATACCAAACTTCAAGGACCAAGGTGCATGGCGCGAGCCGCCGCTGCAGTCTTGTATATATACATATATATAAATATATAGACATAGATATCCGAACGGGTGTCTTCAGATGGCGCCTCCACCTTATGTTGGCATGGTGGCGTCCTATATATATATATGTATATTTATATATATATAGCGTCGTTGCATCGTCGCGGTCGGGTGGGTCTGGCCACTCGAGGATTTCGGCGCCAGTTAAGGAGACCGCGTCGGTGTCCGTGCAAAAGCCAAACGCGTTCTTGTTGGCTGGGGGGGGGGCCCAAAGGGTGGTCTCGTCTGGTGGCGCGCACCTGGCAACCGATGGCAAGCCAATCTTAGAGCCAGAAAGAACCCTGTGCATTGTTGGCTTCTTGGCCCAGAATCGTTGTGAATTCAGTGGGCTCTCCGTCGTTCCAGATGCTGTTCGGCATGTCTGCCGGTGTCTCGCTTATTTTGTCATGGTAGGTGCCGGCGATGCGTTCGCTGAAGATGCCCCCGATGTTTCCTGGAGAGCGCTCAGCCCAGCGTCCATGGCTGCGCATGCGCTCCAGGAGTTGGTCGTATTGTTGTTGGGCACGGGGCATCTGGTGATTTAGCGGTTGCAGTAGCTGTGCTGCTCGGGAGATACCAACTCCCAAGTCGCGAGGTATTATCAGCGTCAGGACCTGGAAACTGGGTATGTTGAAACCCGCTGAATCCGCTTCCAGCCCTGCCATCTCGAATCGGGCCAGCAGTGTGTCGCTGCGTTCGCCCCTCTATCGACCCTGAGGTCGATGAGGGCCGTCCTCGAGGTGAGCTGCCGCCGCCCATCCTCGAGAACTTCAAGTTTAGTGTTTGTGCGGTTCATGATATGAGTGACTCCGTCAGTGCGTCTACCGTGCAAGGTGGCACCGTAGTTGATGATGGTCGACGGCACCCGCATAGCCAGTGTCCTAGCAAAGCCCCCTGGGTCGCGCTGTAACTGCCGCGACCTGTCGGGGTGGAGTCATGCTTCCGCTCGCGACGCTGAGCCATGCGTGTGCTTCAAGAACCAAAATCGCGGCTGGGTGCGCTGCCTGTGGGATCCCAAAAAGGGACTCCGAGTGCGCGTTTCATGAATTCCTCCTCCTCGCATGTATCCCGCAGCAATACCTAGGCACACCCATACGATTCCAAATCCAGCAACCTTGACACAGTGCGTGGTGAGGGTAGGTTTCGTATCATTGGTGTTTGTCGCGTCGATGGGGCTGCGACTGGGTGTTTGGTCTGACGTGGTAATTAGCTCGCGGATGGGCATCGGTGATTGGTCTGTGCGTGGCGTGTGGCCACCCGGTGGGGAGATGGAGGTATAAGTCGGGCATTCTACTGTGCCGTGGCCAGTTGCTATGTACATAACACACGATGTATGAGCCAACCACACAAAGATGACGCCAGCTCCGCTACCAAGTGCAAAGCAAGGGTCAGGCACTGGACCATGGTGTAATAAGCTGGGGGCCCTGCTCTTATGATAACCTCGGCGAGGCATCCAAGGAGGTATCCCATAACTCATCCCTTGATGGCAAGCAAGGCGAGGGAAAGGAAACGAACCGTGAGATGTGAAATGGAGAGGTGGATCATTGATAGATGTGGCCTTTGTCTGATACAATGATCCGATTGTGTCTCACTGTCGTGAAACAGGTAAATGGGGTAACGCCACCTTGAGCCAAGGTAGCGGCGGATACCACGTTCGATGTATACTGCCTCCCCTGAACTCCCTCTAGCATGAGGAAGCCCTGAGTGCAGGCAATGGTTGGGGACTCGTTGCGTGGCTGCTCTGGATTTCAAGACAAGCGACAATGGGCGGCGCATGGGCAGGGAGGGAGACGAGATGATGGATAAAGACAAGTTGAAGGAGAGAGGGATCAGTGACGACTGAGGGAAGAATCAAGGAGAAACGCATGAGAAGCGAAGAGGGACGGAAAAATGCAGGATGAATGACGGCAGTATGAGGGCGGAGCGGGAGGGGACACGGGAAGATGGGAGGGCATAAGAGGGGAGTGGGAGGGCCTTGGAAATTAGGAAGTTCGGGAAGAGGATGGATATGCGATGGGAGGCGAATGATGGAAGGAAATAGGAAGATGACGGGATGAGGGGGAAGCGGCAGCAAGAAAATGAAGAACATCTGGGAAATGATGCGGAAGAGGGAGGGAGGGGGATGTGAGAGGGTGGATCGGTACGGGGATGGTAAGGGGGATGGGAAAGAGGATTTCGGAAAACATATTGAAGGCTACGGAAACGGGGATGAGAACTGGATGGTGGGGGAGAGTAGGAGGGAGGACGAAGGTGGACCACGAAGAAGGAGGCCTTGTCGTCTGCGGCGTCGTTGCCAATCACAACGTGACCGTCGGTGACGGCCTTGCACTCTTCAATGAAATCGTCCGGAATGCCAACGGACCCGCCGTCCTTCATGAGGGCCGCCAACTGCTCCTCGTACTTGTCCACGGCCTTCTTCCGGATTGCCTCATCGATGTTCATCGCCTTGATGCTTTTGATCTTCGTCTCCTCGTGGCTGAGCGGGAGCTTCTGCAAGACTCAATGTAAACAATGACACATGCGTTCTCGTGCGCATTGGAATGGTCAGCCGAACCAGGACGAGATCACCAAATCCAACTTCGGCCTGTGGGGCACAGCTCAGAGCAGCGGATGTACACTTGAGGCGCTGCCGCGCCAGATGGAACTCCTGACTGATCATGCAGGGCCGTATTGCGACGAAACTGTGAAGCTTCTTAGAGGCAGATGGCTTCCTGGTTATCTTCCCTCCTCCATCCTTCTCGCCTCCTGCCCCCTTTACGCGCCTCCCCGTTTCCCCCGTTCACCCTCCCCCCCCCGCCACCTTCCCCAATTCACCCCTCCATCACTCCCAGCCATCTCCCCTTCTCTTGCCCCCACCCCTCTCTTCCCCGTTTCTCCCTTCATCCCCCTCCCCCTCCCCCCTTTCTCTCCTCTCCACACCAGCGTGAGGAGGGGGGGTCGGAGGAGGAACGGGAGAAATAGGGGAGGAGGCGGGATGACGGGAAGGATGAGGAGGGATGAAAAAGAGCGCACGCGTAGCGAATCGAGCCCTGGAAACGACAGAGACCTAGTCGGTCTGGCCGTTCCATCATCACCCTCCTACTCGTCATCATCCCTCCTTTCCCGGGACACCCTCCATAATCCCCCTGGAGCATTCTAGAACCTGCTTCTCCCACTCCTCCTGCCACTCCCCCACCCCTCGGGGACGACGATGGGGGCGAATAGCCCAAGGGAGGAGGAGGGGGAGGAGGAGGAGTATCCAGGGGCGCCGATGGCCTGTGCTTTCGGCGAGGCTCCTGGGCGAATGCGTGTAACGCCCGCCCGCCACCGGGCTGTTCGCCTCCATCGTCGCCTCCGAGCCCCCGTCTTTCTGGAACGCACAGGGACATACTAATACTATATGTCCTCCTTGGAGGCGCGCGTCCGACCCGAACATATAGTATACCCATCTTGTAGTATATCGTTTCCCGAACGGTGTGGCCAGAAAACGCCCGCCACGACGCATATACTACAAGAACTCTCGGTGCGCGCGTCGCCCCTGGGGGGGGGGGCGACGCACACATAGTATAACATGTTGGGCTGACGCCGACATTCCAGCGAGACATGACCCGGCGACCCGGCGCGGGGCTCCAGCTCCCTCCGCGAGAGCACGTCGTCGCCTCGGCGAGCCAGCTCATCCCTCCGTCTGCCCGTCCTCGCTGCTCGGAGCAGGAAGTAGAGGCGCCCTCTCCCTCCTGGTGCCTCCCTGCTCCCTCTCGGTGCCTCCTCATTCCTCCCTGCCCCGCTTCCTCCCTTCCCTCTTTCTCCCTCCCTGCTCCCCTCCGTCCCTCCCTCCCCGCCCTCCCTCTTCGCTCCCTCCTCCCGCAGCGTGGTGCGGCAGAGGCGTGGCGTCGAAACGGGAGCGCCCTTTTCCTCCTCCCCCCTGCGCCCCCTCTCCCTCCTTCTCCCTCCTGCAGCATGTGGCGAACGTGTCCACTCGCGCCCGTCGACTACCCTTCAGAAATAATTGAAAAATGTTCCAACAATAATCTGGGCACTATTTTTCAATATTTTTTGACCCTTTTGGAATCTGTTTGGGGATCTATTATTTTTCGTCGTAAATCCCCCTGTATGGGGGACAGGCCCGACTTAGGCTACCCCTGACCGCCGCCGCGAACACGAGCACGATGCACGCCAACCAGACCAGACGCGCCGCAACGCCGCTCATCCTGCTACTGCTCCTCCTCATCCCTGCTCTACCTCCTCCTCCTTCTTCTGCTCTCGCTTACGCCTCCTCCTTCTCGTCCGCCCCCTCCTCCTCCTCCTCCTCCTCCTCCTCCTCCTCCTCCTCCTCCTCCTCCTCCTCCTCTTCCCTTCCACCTCCTCCTCCTCCTCCTCCTCCTCCTCCTCCTCCTCCTCCTCCTCCTCCTGCTGTGCGCAAGCCCGCGTGCAGCACACTTTTGTTCCGATTATAGGGGTGGCTCAGTTGAGCCAGCGATATCCCTGGGATTGACTTTCTCGGCCAGCTGCTCTGTCGTGGGGGACGCTAAAACTGGCCAACACAACGTCAACGGCTACGATATGGCACGCGGTGCCTCCCGAATGCCACGCAATGGGCAGCCAATATATATAACAGTCTCCGAGGAAACTTCGCAATCATGATTAGCTTGTCTGTCCTCGTTGCCCTGCTGGTAACAACTTGACCTGGAAAGCCCAAGCGCTCAAGCCAGGAAAGAGGCGCTGGAACAAGTGCAAGGATTTCGATTGGACTATGTTGCTACGTCGATGCTCAGCGGAGGGCTGCACTACTCCCAAACAAGACGACCCAGAAGCGGCAGAAGCCATGCGCAAGGCAGTGGAAGCCCTCCAGAACAAGGGTGACATCGAGGGCGCGAAGACCCTGGCCGACAAGTTCCCTGACATCATGGTCGACTCCGCAGCCCCGCCGCCGAAGCCAGTCAGTCACTGCGCAGCTCGAGGATGCAGTAACCACCCTCCGCCGTTTGGAATCACATCAAGACAGGCTTCGTGAGCAACTCCAGCGCGCAGCTGAGTGGCAAGCAGAATGTTTTGAGAAACTCTCTGTGGACGTTGAGGAATACCAGGCCGCTTCAGCAGATGCGGAGCGCGACTCAGACAGTCTTCGCGCTGGCCGGGCCGAGCCGCCAGCTGAGCCCTGGGAGGATGACTTCCCGACCCTGGAAGAAAGCGACCTGGCTCACCTCGACCCGGCCTGGAAGCAGGCCCACGGGGCAGCAAAGAGCGTGCGCGGGCGAGCACAGGCGGCGACGGAGACCATCCGCCGCGCAGGTGAACAAGCCGAGAAACAATGCAGTCAACCAACAAGTTCCGAGAGCAGGTCACCGCCGAGGAGCGCCGCCAGTCTGAGGGGGACAGGCGCGGAGCACCAGCGGCGACGGCAGAGGCCGGGGCTGCGGCCACCGAGACGACGGAAGCCGCCGTGCAGACCCAACAGCAGCGCAACATATGCAATCTCACGGGCCTGGCCGAGATCGAACGCTGCGTCGCCGAGCAGAAGCACGTCCGCTCGGTGCAGGTCGCCGCCGATGGGGGGGGAAGCTAGGGGGACGAAGGCGACGGGTCGACGGCCAATCCGTCGGTTTGATCTACCCCATCCTGGTCTAGGAGTGTCCATGGCGAACATCAACATGTTCTCCGACGCTGTCCGCGAGTTTTGGGGCTCGCCATATGACTTCATGGGCCGCGTGGAAACCCACTTGCACGGCAAACGGCTCCAGGACGAATGGCGACATCTCCTTGGTGTGAGATGACCCACAGGGCGTGCTGCTTCACCAGCCAAGCCAACATCAGGGAAGGGTAGCTCGGGAGGAGCTCTCTGGGCGCGTGCTCGGCAGTTCAACTCCTTCCCGCACCGCGCTCCCATTGGTGGCGAGAACGTATTGGTCCACCAGCTTCAAGCAGTTGCAGTCACCATGGTTCGTATGAAGCACGCAACAGTGGCCTTCGTCGTGATCTACCTCGCCTGCGACCCCAAGAGACTGGACACCAAGAGACTGGACCACCCAGCCGCTATCTCAAAACTATCCTAGCTGCTGGCCCTGGTGCGCACGCTGGGCACGCAATTGATGGCTCGTGGCGACTACAACAACACACCAGCGCAGCTCGAAACCGCGAAATGGCACGAGTCATTCGCGTCCGAGTTCCTTCTCCCGAATTGCGAATTCACTTGTGCAGGCAACTCAGGACGAATGCTAGACTGGGGTCTGTTCTCGCACAGCTTCCCGCCGCTAAACAAGATCGTCGAACCCGTCTACATTCTACACCGTACCTCGGCAACCGCATGTTGGAATAGAAATTCGACTGCATACGCGTCCAGCAGCGGTCGTGTGTGCGGCCGCTATTGCATGCTGCCATCGAGATCCCCGACCACGACACCCATATCGCTCAAAGCCCCAAGCGCCAGCAGCAAGGCCGTCAGCGCCATGGTCAGCTGCGTCACACTGAAGATGGTGGAGCCATGGGAGGAGGAACCGGTCTGCGCGACAATCTGAGGAGCCACACTACGTCAATACGTATTGCCTGCAGCGTTGACGACGAGGACTGGGTCCACCACAAAGAGCTCGCGCATCGCATATCCATTCTATTACCAGTCCTGAGAAGCAGCGGTGCGTTGCAAACGCCCGCAACCCAAGTGGCCTCCAACGAGCTGGCCGAAGAGTATGGGCGATGGGCGATGGCAGCAGAGTCGCCGCTTCTCAGCTGGGCCGACGACCAGCCGATCAGCGACCAGAGGCGGCGAGGACAACCCCGCCGCTATCGGAGCGAGCAGATGACGCGCCGGCCCGACTCGCTCTACATCCAGGTTGGGACTCAGCAGGCTGAAACCAATGCATGGATCAGCCTCGCCAGCCAGCTCTAGGTCCTTTGCAACATGTGCGAGAGCCTCGCAAGCACCGACGAGACAAACGATTTCAGTGCGCCGACCACCAAGGCCACCAACGGAACCGATCACGAGAGCGAAGAGGCCGTGATTAACGATCCCATAGCTAAGCTCGCCTCCAGGACCCCGGCGTATCAGTGCAACCCGTGGGCTGACATCCCGTTCGGCAGCGAGCTTCCCAGAGGCCAAGAGGTGCCCGGCATCAAGGAGCCCGCCATGAAGTCTTACCTGGACGACGAGGACATCGACCCTTTTTCTCGAAAGGGATCGAGACGAGCAGCGGGGCGATTACCAGCGCCCCGTACCTGATCCAAAAGAGCACCCTGGACCAGGTCATCTCCATGCCGATCTCCATGCCGGGCCGCGTGAAGCCTACCATCGGATCCAGGCCTCGCGCCGCGCCCGGTCGCCGCGTCCCCGATCCCAATCAGAACGCACCCTGGAAGGCCCCCGGGCTCCTGACCAGGATCCGCTGATGCCACCGGCGTTGGAAGGACAGTGCGAGGCCTCTGTGAGCCTGGCGTGGGCCTCTCAAAACCCAGCCTGGGCGGGCGTCGTGAGT